CTCGAACTTAAGGGTGTGATTCTCTCTCCCTCTCTTTCTACTCTACTGTCATTCACAATAATGCATACATCCTGGCTCGTATCGAATGTGGCGTTGTTGCCCTACCACTTAACACGCAACCTTCAATCCTTTCGTTCTGTGGCAAATCACATTGTTGCAGGCATGTGCCGCTGTGTGTCAGAAACTGGTTGTGAGTCTGGCAAACAAGAAGGCGCTCATCATACAACAAGTTACAACAAACATGTTGCTTGTTTGCCGACAGCGCCTGGAAGAACATGCCGATGATGGCCATCATGGCCAAACGGCCGTTGGCAAGTTCCGCTGCAAGCTTGGTTTTCTTGGCCTCAGGGTCAGACGCGGTGAGCACCTTGAATCCGAAGTCACCCGCTGCAGCAGGAGTTCCCGCCGACTGGTCCTGGGACACCTCACAGAAGGCCATGTAAGCCAAGATTTGTCCCCACCCAGCAGCGGGAACTTTGGAAATCGCCGCCAATCCGTTGGGCACATCCGCGAACTTCAAGCCTGCGGAAGGGCTCAGATAGCCCGGGAATTTTCCGGTGATCTCCGGGGTGATATAGCCCATGGTAGCCTCGGTGAAATGTTCAAACTCAAACCCAGGATACGAAGAATAAGAAAAAATGCGGATATACATATGTTCCGATGCTACTACTTTGAAGCAAAAAGAAACAAACAAAAAGCAAAAACAAAAGCATGAAAGACAATGCCGAACTTTGACCCAGTGACGAGCATGGAGATTCTTCCGTGCTTCAGCTCCGTCTGGCGACGTCGGGCAAAGTTCTCGGTGCTGCCATCTGCCGTGAACCCGGCCGGGTCCCAAAATCCGACTGGCGCCTGCCACAGCATGGTTGAACTTAAGCTACATCTGCGTGCATGCGTCATCCGTCAATACAGGTCTTTGCAGTCTTGGCCGCTTCACCCCAAAACTGACGACGAATAAAAAGCATTATATAAAAGCTAATTATCTGCATTCATCACTTCACCAAATATTAAATGCTTTTAGTGCTTTCCCGCCTGTATCTCGTGGACCTATATCTCCGTCGTCTATTATCGTTTGCCTCTATCCGCGACAGGCGGGAGACGGGTCCTGAACTCACCCAATTACAACAAACCCAAATAAAAGCAAAATACAAATATAAATATGAAATTAATAAAAGAAGCTGGAATAGCCTTCACGTTGTTACGACTTAAAAATCCAAATTAAAAGACAAGAAGATAAAAGACTTCTAACCCTCAGAATCCCTTTAACCAACTGCCTCGTTCATTCATATCACTTAGGATTGTTGGCGAGGAGACGAGTCAAGGGATGGGCGGTCTCTTTTCTCTTCATCTCAGGAACTGGGTCACGTGACCGCCAATGAATGAACCGACAGGGAAAGGAAATCATGAATCAAGATACTAACGACCAGGCGGTTCCCTTCTCTCTCATATCTTCCTTTCTCCTGCCTTGTCTATTCCCAATTTCATCGGTCCAAACCCAGGCACCTGGACACCGAGCTCGTTCTCAAAGGCGCTCAAGGCCACCTGATTTGTGCTCACCCAAATCATGATACTTCAGATCCAAAAACTGACAGGCTTTTTTTGCCATGTCACCAAGCGATAGGGCTGGAACAAGTCAGGCTCCATATGCCGAATCAAGTCGTTGAGTTAGGTCTGTCTCACCATTCCGTCTCACGGTCTCGCGCTATTGTTCACCCGATCTGAGGAGCGCGCCAGCTGATGCTTGGAGTTCGCCGTGGCCTTGGACGGCAGTTTAATCTTACAATCATGAGCTGAAAGTGCCTTTCAAACTATCTAGACCCTTAAATTACCCATCTCAAGTTGTACTTTTATAAAGTTTGTGTATTCGGCATGCTGCCCCTGCACTTAGTGTTGGCCATGACGCAGACATACTCCGGATGGCTAGTCACGTGCAAAGGCGAACAAACACAACCAAAAAAAAAAAAAAAAAACGGAGAAAAAAGAAGAAAAAAAAAGAAAAAAAAAAAACGAACGAGTTCACTGCTACCAACCAGCCAACATAGACCACCACCAGCCAGTCAATTAACAAACATACAGTTCATTCATACTGCATGACATGACGTAATATGTCACATGGTCTCAGCATGACATGGCATCACATGACCTCACATTGCGTCACGTTAACATTACGCTACGCTGTATTGAAGTACAAAACCTTCCATTGCATTGCTTTCCTCTTTATCACATTGTATGGCATGTATTACGCGCCCGAAAAAAGGACGAACCAGAAAAACTACGTTGTTTGTTCATCTGCATACAAACAACAAAACAACAAAACAACCAAACAAACTAAGCCTCAAAACACACAAACAGACACACAACACAAAACTGCAGCAAAACACAAACAGGCAAACGAACAAACAGACAGGCAAGCAGACAAAAGAACAAAACATACAAGCAAACAAGCACTAAAGCAAGCAAGCAAAAACACAAACCAACAAAAGCAAGCAAGCAAGCAAGC